GGGAGCCACAGCCCCTGTATAGGAACCACAGCCCCCCTATGGGAACCACAGCCCCCATATAGGAACCACAGCCCCCCTATGGGAACCACAGGGAACCACAGCCCCCATATAGGAACCACAGCCCCCCTATGGGAACCACAGCCCCTTATGGGAACCACAGCACCCCTATGGGAACCACAGCCCCCATATAGGAACCACAGCCCCCCTATGGGAACCACAGTCCCCATTTGGAACCACAGCCCTTATAGGAACCACAGCCCCTATAGGAACCACAGCCCAATCCCCCTATAGGAGTAAAACACCTCACACCCCCTATAGGATGCGGGGACTATTACGGGATGCAGCCCTATGGGATGTAAGGGCTATTATGGGATGCAGCCCTGTGATCTCCCTTATAGGACATGGAGATCAGCGTCACGGAGCTGCAGACGATCCTCAACCGCATCATCGCCAAACGTGAGGGGGGGGGCAACACATTTTGGGCTGAAAACCCCCAAAAATGGTTCATTTGGGACCCAGAACAAAAACGTCCATTCCTGGGCTCCCTTTTTGGGTTCCAATGTGAATTTTTGGGGTTTCTGATTGCAGATAAAGACCTGCGCACCAAAGGGTTCAGCATCGAGTCCTGCCGCAGTATGGTCAACCTGATGGACGTATCCTCCTCTTTTTTGGGGCACTTTCCCCCTTTTTGCCCATTTTCCTCTCATTTGGGGATTTTCCCCATCCTTTTTTAGGGCTTTTTCACCATTTTGGGCTATCCAGATCCCATAATCCTCCTATTTCACTCTTTTGTAGGGCTTTTCAGCTGCTCTGGGTTTATTAGCTGTTATTTTGGGGGGGTTCATTCTTTGTTTTGGGGGGTTTTGTCCTCTTGGGGATTTTTTTTGTCTGGCTTTGGGGCTTTTTGTCTGGTTTTGGCTTTTTTTTTGGTCTTTTTGGGGGCTTCTAATATATTTTTAGGTCTTCTTGTCTGATTTTGGGATCTTTTGTCTGATTTTGAGGCTCTTCATCTGATTTTAGGGTTTTTTTGTCAGGCTTTGGGGCTTTTTTGTGGTTTTTTTGGAGTTTTTGTCCTTTTTTTAGTCTGCTTTTGAGGCTTTCTCTCTCTTTTTGAGTTTTTTCCATCTGTTTTGGGGCCTTTTCATCTCTTTTTGGGGCCTTATATCCATTTGGGGTACTTTTTCCATCTGTTTTGGGGTTTTTCTTGTATTTTGGTTATTTTTGTGTATTTTTCCTGCACCTTTTCACACATTTTACCTTTTCCTCACCAAATTTTGAGGGATTTTCACCTTTCTGTGTTCTTTTTCCCCCACTTTTTTGGCCTTTTTGCCCATTTCTCACCGTTTTGAGGCTTTCTGATTGATTTGGGGGGCTTTTCACTCCTTTATTTTGGGGACTTTATGCCCACTTTGGGGTTTTTTCCTCCTTTTTGCTTTCTTTTTTTTTAAATTTATTTATTTTATTCTATATATGGGGAATTCTGCCCCAAAATCTCCCATTTTGTCCTTAATTCTCCCTCACCCCATAGAAAGATGGGAACGGGAAGTTGGGCCTGGTGGAGTTCAATGTCCTGTGGAATAGGATCCGCAATTACCTGGTGGGGGCCGGGGGGGTTATGG